GACCCGCCTCCCGGCGCCGCCCGCCTCGCGCTGAAGCCACCGTGGCCGCCATGTTGACTGTGGGCGCGAAGCCGCCTCTCCGTCCAGACGCGATGACTCGCGGCCCCGGGTGCGGTTCTGCGGCATGAAGCCCGGTGGGGGCCATGTCTAGTATGGGCATGGACCCGGAGTGGGCGAAAGCGCCGGGCTCCCGCCGGGTCAGCCGGGTCTCGCAGTGGGAGGTGGTCTTCGCTGCTCTGATGGCGGAGGCCTTCGGAAGTGCTGGAATCGGGTTGCCTCCCTGGAAAAAATGATGGGCATGACTCTGACCAGTCCTGTGCAACCCGGCCCGGCCTGGCTCCCGAGGGACCGGGAGCTGGCCTCCCAGTAGCTGCCACAGAGCCTGGCACGTCTTGGAGGCCTAACCTTGCAGTCCTGGTGAAATGGTATTATTAAAATTGCCTTCCTTTTCAGACCAGCCTTTAACATCCCGCTAAACTCTACCATCATTCAGTCATCATTCGTCAAAGAGTTGCTTTTCTGTGCCAGGCCCCGTTCTGGGCGCTGGAGTAAGAAACTAACATGATTTCTGCCCGCTCTCCCTGCAGCTTCCACTCGTGTGGATGCTGCTAATAACCGCTAAGTTCCAAGCATTGTGCTGAGCTTGCAACATCTTTAGTCCTCGATGTTTGAAAATGGTATTACTCATCAGATTCCAACCCAAATTTGTTTCGAAGCCCCCGGGCTTGACCTCTCAACAAGAGGCCATTAACCTACTGGTATCACGGGGGTTCCCGTGTCAGCATGTGAAGAGTCTTGGTGTTTTCATCATCATTCCGACCTAGTCGTACTTCAAATAATTTAGCTCTCAGAATTGGGAACAATATAAGGAATGGTATGGACTATGGCCAACTGCAAACCAACATCCTTCTAAAGGAGGTAGCTGCCGCTGAGCCCCAGACAAATGTTTCCTGTGGAAACGAGAGCTCAGTGTCGCCAGATCATCTGATATGTTAGGAGAAAGTGGAAATCCTATTTTTAAATGTTGGTCCAATTAACAGGAAAAAAGTAGTGCATGGGGGGGAAAGCATATCTTTGTACTGTACTCAGCCAAAAACTACCTCTTTGAGGATTTTCCTCTTTGCTGCCCCTTACTTTGCCTAGTCCTGGTTGTTGCAGAAGAGAAATCAGGGAAGGGCCCTTCCTCTGTTTTTAAAAAAACACAAAGCCCATCTTAAATCGCATTTCAAGGTAAATGACCTCTGCAGCTGGCCTCCCACCCCATAGTATGCAGGACTTAAGGTGTCCACCGCCCCCCCTTCCTCTGTTAGCCCTCAAATTACCTCCATTCCCACCTCCAAGTTGAGATATGCATTCCTAACTGCACCTTGAATTCATTTGGACATCAAAAGAAAGCAAACTGATAGTTGATACTAATGTACCTCCATCCTTGCAAGATATGTTTGCATTTTTTAAATATAAAAATTGTGGAGGAGGCACAAAAAAAGGAATGACTTTTGGTGGCATTTCAGGCAATTTAGTGAAATGTCATCTAGCCATGATGTGAAAACTTGTTTGTTTGTTTATGGCAGTAAGAGGGGTGTTTAGGCTGTGGATTCTCTAGATGTCAAACCAGCTCAAAGTTAGCTTCCCAACAAGCTTAATTTTTGTTGTTTGTTTTGCGCGTCTTCACTTTGTATTTAGGTGTGCATAGCACCAGTGAAGTTTGCTGAAAATCTGCAAAAATAAATAAATAAATAAATAAATAAAGGCAGCTCTTAAAATGGTGACTCTGTTTTGCTCATCATGGATATCCAGCACCAACTATGATTCTAATAAATGGTTGAATGAATACATAAATTACTTTAGAAGACAATTAAGCATAACAAAAGTTCTTCAACCCCCATGTCTTATGCTCGTTCATCCCCCAAGTCTTATGCTGAGCTCCTCTCCAGCTGCAGCCATAGCAGTAAGCCACTGCTTGTGACAGCCCCCACATCAAGCTGTTTATCTCTCTGCTTTCTTGCCTGAGAGTTTCTCCAAAACCTGGGAGCTCACGAAGTGGAACTGAACTAACTGAATTTCCAATCAGAAACCAGTGGAAATATCAGTCAGTAGATAAACACCCTAGCTTCCTAATCTTTGCATGGACAAGTCTGTAGCATAACCAACAGATTCTTCAGAGTCCCCAAAAGGTCTGAGCTCTGCTTTCTGGTAACCATTGAATAGCATACCTCTTTGTAAATTTCCCTTCTTTCCTGTCTCAGCCCTCCTACTTTCTCCTGCCTGCTTCCAGAATCATCTTCCAACTAAACTACCTGTACTTAGATCCTGTCTCAGGCTCTGATTGAAGGGAAACCCAAACTAAGATAATGAATTTTAATTAGGACTGGGAAATTCAAAACCTAGTCAGATGTAGAATTGGTCGAGATCTGATTTCCTCCTAACTGCTGTAAGTAATCCTCAGCCTTTCCACTACTAGTCCAAGCTAATATTTGGAATCTCACTGTTGTCTTGTGCTTCAGAAAAATTAGGGTTGTGACCCTCCCTGATGGTGCAGTGGGTTAGGACATACCACTGCAAGCCAGCCACAGCCGTTTCAGTGCCAGTTTGATCTCCGCCCCAGAGGTCACCCACATGGCGCAGCAGACATCTCCTGACCCGCCCGCTGCTCCCCTCAGTAGTGTCCTTCATCAATCTGCCTGTTCTGCTGCCCCCTCTGTCTCTGGTGAATACTCTCAACACACCTGCACCTCTAGCCTATACCCCAGTTCTGTATGCATAAATAAATACATGTTAAAAAAAAAAGAAAAATTAGAGCTGAGCCTGTCATCAGATCTGACTCCCTTGATTTAGGGAGGGTGGTGCTAAATGGAGGGAGACAGATCACATTCCTCTGACTCCCTTTGAACATCACACCCTGATCTAGCCCAGTTCTGCGTAGGTGCTACTTCCACCAGCCTATAATCAGGAGGGTGGCTTCTCGGTCACCAGAGTCTGGTAAGGAACAATTCTTGATCTTCCTCAGTCCTCATATATAATTCAGCATTATGGAATCCCCTAGCCCCAAGCTAGGAAAGCACAAATTAGTAAGAACAGCACACTGACTAGCATTATGGTCTACACTAGGCCCTCACCTGCAACTCTTCCCTTAAGCTGACACCTTGAATAAAGGGTATGCACATGTCCTATTTGACACCTATTGTCAGGGTGACCTCCAGAAATGCCAGGAAAGAATAGGAAATGCACATTGCCCAATGCCAAGATAGTGTTGAGTTTCTCAGTCTTATCCACATTGAAACATGTGATGACCTGTTAATGTGCTGGCATTTGAATGAGCGGATTTGAATATCATGGGCCAGTCTCTGTTATCCAACATCTTAAATAAACTTCCTATTTGGGATACCAAATTAGGCAGACTAACTCAATCTCCTGTTACAAAAACTGGGCAGATGGAAAGTATGCACCTTTCCACCCGAAAGGCAAAGGCCCAGGCAGATAACTGAAGAGAGACCATTCAGAGGCTCCCACCTGGTCACGGCTCTAGAATTACTGATTCGAGGACAGTTGGGGATAACACAGATATCGAGTGAAGCAGCGGGTCTGTTTTCAGCGGTTTGGCAGTGAGGGTCTGGTGGTGGCAGTGAGGGTCCAGCTATGGCAGTGAGTGTCCAGCGGTGTCAGTGAGAGACAGGCGGTGGCAGTGAGGGTCCAGCTATGGCAGTGAGTGTCCAGCGGTGTCAGTGAGAGACAGGCGGTGGCAGTGAGGGTCCTGGAGCGGCAGTGAGTGTCCAGCGGTGTCAGTGAGAGACAGGCGGTGGCAGTGAGGGTCCAGCTATGGCAGTGAGTGTCCAGCGGTGTCAGTGAGAGACAGGCGGTGGCAGTGAGGGTCCTGGAGCGGCAGTGAATACCAGCTGGCTGCTCTTGCCAAGTTCTTACTGGTGTCTCCCTCCCGGGTTTCTGCCCAATCCTGTTTCTCCAGCTCTATTTATTCTGTGAACTAACCCAATAGGCTCCCTATAAATCCCTTTATTGCTGAAACTAACCAGTTCCAGCTTCTGTTGTTGGCAATCAGGAAAAAGAAAGTAACTAGTAATATATTTTTTTATTAACAATTTGTGCTTCTTACTGGAATGATTGGCCTGTGTGCCTCATGTGATCATTTTCCTTTGGGGTGTCCCATTTATAAATGTTGGCAAATAGTACTTTGAACATGAGCTCTGTGATTTCTTGTTCTGCACCATTCCAGTTGGCATTTACCTTTCACCAGATTGACAATATTTTCATATCAAATAACTTTGATTATTTGATAGATTGATTTTTGTGCATAGACTTCTCGCTTTCCTTTTTACATGCTTAGCTATCACTTTCCAATTCCAGGAGCCTAAGAATTTTTATATATTTCCATTTGCTGCTATAGTGGTTTCTTCCTTATTTCTTTTTCTTCCTCTGAAGGCTGGCTCCATCAGGAATCTATTTTTGTTAAATAAATGAGGTAGGGATCTTCCTTTTTCCCCACTCTAAATGGCTGGCCGGCCATCTCAGCACCATTTTTTTTTTAATTTATTACAAAAGTTTATTTTTACATCATTTTGCACATTTTTTTTCCATCTCGATTGTAATCTCCACGGGTTTCCCATCACCATGTCACCCGTGTGCCATCACCATAGTCCGTTGCATTTCCCTCCCTTCCCCCCCCCCATTTTTGATCCCATTCCCCACTCCACCCCCACAAAATGTCTCGGGTATATGGTTGTTCATTATTTTTGTTATTTTC